CTGTCTCCTCACATGGTGAAAGGGACTGGTGGGGGAGTTCTGTGGGATCTCCTTTATTAGGCCATTAATCCTATTCATGAGAGCCCCATGCTCATGACCTAATTACCCCAAGGCCCCACCTCCTAATATCATCACCTTTGGGGATTAGGATGTCAACATACGAATTTGGGAGGACACCGACGTTTAGTCCACCATACCCTCCATCTCTGGCTAGCTCACTCCTTCAATCTCCAGATGTCAGATCAACCATCTCTTTCTCAGGAAACTTTCTCTGGCCTAGCTGCCCCATGCTCCTGCCGCGCCTCTTCTTCCCACGTCACACGAAATATTTTTAATTTCTTTCTTCCCTGAGAAACTTGAAACGCTGTCAGGGCAGAAACGGAACTGGCATCAACCCCAGGGAGGGAGGCCCAGTGCCCAGCACGATGTGCCCAGCACGCTGCAGGTACAGGGTCAATACCTGTGGAGAATAAGAGCAAATGGACCAAGAGCTTAAGGAAGTGCCCAGACTCAAATGCAGAGACGAGAGTGAGGACCAACTACTGGGAACCAGGACTTAAATGGAACGGATGAGAGGAGGTATGACAATCTCAGGATGCAGGAAGAACACATTTTTCCCCCCAGGAGAAGAATCCTTTTCTTTCCTCCTTAAGGGAGGCAGGTCCACACCTTTCATTCAACCCCTGTCCTGAATGGGATCTACAATCTGTGATCAGGATGATTACAGGTTGAGGACAGAGCAGGGGTGTTTGGGACCCACGTGTCGCCGCCCTGCCTGCTGACGGACTGCTGCGCTCCCGTCTGGACTCCACACCCGCTGAGTCGCGGGTGTCTGTGGCACAGCCATCCCAGGCTCATGCGTTCCATGGACTCGCACCTCTTGGTGATGACAGACGGCAATCCTGGGTCTGAGGCTCCACGTAGGAGGTTGTTAAAACTGACCCAGCCCCGGAGGTGGCCTGCCAAGAGGGTAACGAGGGCCCAGAGATGGAATTACACCATTTTCGGGCGTTTCTTATAATAAAACTAGGAGCAGCCAATCATTTGCTAACTCTGTAATGGCTTTTGCTCAGACGACCCAAACAAACAGCTGAACGGAGATGTCCATTTGGAGGGCACCTCACTCTCTGGGCATGAGGTCCTGAATCAGGGGACCTGGGTTCTGGTCCTGACCTTTCCACTGACCCTCGGGGCCAGCTTGAGGTGCCAGTTTCCTTCCTGCGCTTGTTTCCCACAAAAGAAACAGAAGACCTCGAAGCTTCCTTCTGTTCCTATAATGTGAGTAGGTGAGGGTGAAGGTGGTCTTCTCCCCTCACTCCCTGCTAGGGACTGAATTGTGTCCCCCTCCCCCTACCAAATTCATATGTTGAAGCCCGAACGTCCAGTGTGGGTGTATTTGGAGGCGGAGTAATTGGGAGGTAATTAGGTTTAGATGAGGTGGGGAGCCCATGGTGGGATTAGGGTCCTTAGAGCTTGCTCTCGTCCCCCCTCTCCCCACCACCATGTGAAGACACAGTAAGAAGGCAGCCATCTGCAAACCAAGAAGAGGGCTCTCACCAGAACACGACCATGCCAGCACTTTGATTTTGGACTTCCAGCCTCCCAAACTGTAAGAAAATAAGTTGCTGTTGTTTAAGCCACCCAAACCCTGGTGTTTTGTTATGGCGGCCTGAGCAGATTACAACACTCCATTTGCCTTGCTCAGGGCTGTCTCTGCCTTTCAAAGTCAAGCTGGAGGGCATCATGCCCCAACAGCCCTCCACAGCCTGTGGTGGCTGGACTAGGATTCCCAGTGCTCTGTGGCTTGTGGCCCAGATTCCCGTCAGCATCCTGCCCTTGCCAGAGTCTGACAGCAGCCTTGAGGACTCATGAGTCTGGCCTCTCCCAGGGTGGCCAATCTCTAGGGCTGCTCCAACTGAAGCAGGCCCAGCCCCGGGGGAGGTAGGTCTCCAGGCAGCAAGGCAAAGTGCTACCTCAGCCTTCTCCTCAATGCAGGGCAGTCTAACGGTGGGAGGAAAGACCACAAAAGAGTACCTTAGGGTTTAAGGCAGTTTACAAGTTCCCAAAGCACTTCAACTTTTGTCTCTCCCTGTGCCACTTGGCAACCCTGACAGAGAGGCAGAAATCATCGTCCCAAGTTGACAGTTGAGCAATCAGATCCAGAAAGGGTCAATTCTCTTGCCCAGGGTGGAAGCAACAAGATTTAAACCCAGTCTTTGGGCTCTTAGGTCAGTATTCTTTCAGCTCTGCCACATTATTTCTCAGATCTGTGCAAAGGGTACCACGGGGTGAGAGGGCAGAAGAGGAAGTACCAGTTGGCTGGCAGCAGGAAGTTCTCCGCGGGGAATGTCATCCACAGGCAGGGTTTCTATCTGCAAGGCTGGGAAAGGAAGGCTGTGCTAAGTGGAGAAAAGACAGGCTGGAGGTACAGTGGCCGCTCAGAGAATAACGGGACTTACCCTCCTGAAGAACTGGAGGAAATGGGGAAGACCTGGGATGGGGCTCAAGAAGTGGAGGAAGGGGTTCTCTGACACTGCCAAATTGAGAAACGCAAACGGAACTTTAGTTTGGGAGACAGTGGAGAGCCACTGAAGGTTGCTGGGTAGGGAGTGGAGTCTGTGCCAGGTGTCACAGGAGAAAAAGACAGGTGGTCTCTGACCATTCACTCACTCACTCAATGAACCTTGTTGAGCATCTCCTGTGGGCCAGGCCTGGGGACTCTGACTCCAAACAAGACCCAGTCTCAAGCCCCAGGCGCTGGCAGGCCAGTGGACAGTGTGCTCTGTGCACATAGCCTGTGGAGTCTTCCTGATGCTGGGACGCCCTTGCAAAAGGTCTACCTCAGGGAAATCACCAGGAGCTAGAGAGGGGAGGAGTCCTCTCAGCTGCAGCTTATAGAAAAGACTACTCCATTTCCCTCCCCACCTTAGCCCACAGTCTGTGCATCAACCCGCCAACGCAAGAAGGCTCCTAGGGAGAACCTACAATCACAGTTTGGGGGCCAAGGACATGAAGAAGGGATGACAGGCTTCATCCCAGAGGCCGGAGAGCCCAAGGTGCCTGCAGGCATATGGCGGTAACAATGCCCACTTACTTCCAGGGCCCTGGGAACGTGGGTCTGCTCTCTATGCTTCAGAGAACTTTCTGGAAAGTGAGTGAAGTGTTCTTCAGGCCATCTGCTATCAAGGCTCTAAGAGGAGGCTGCCTTTCTGAAGGATGAAGGACACCCTTACACACTGAGCCAGCCCTGGCTGGCCCCCAGCAGGTCCCCCCTCTTCCCAGCCCAGCAGGCTTTCCCAAAAATTTGGAGTCATGTGGTCAGGCTCTTTGTCATCTGGCATAGAGCTGAGAAGCATAGCCCCCAGTTAACAATGGCCACACTGAAAACAAAGCCCATTATTACAGGACAGGGCAGCCAGGCTGAATCATCCCAGGGCAGACAGACAGCCTTTAATTAGGAGAACAGTTCAATACCTATGTATTGGCTGGTGAGTAAAATTCATTTCTTAGGTACCACCATTCCCAGAGGATAATTCTGACCTATCTGATCATCTCAGAAGATTTCATAGAGTCACAACCCTCTATAAATATAGACACATCAAAATTCACTTCTGATTGCACTGCACGTCAAATGGGAAAATGTGCAACATTTAAAAGTGTCAGTGGCATCACTCGTGTGGACCTGGGGGAGGAGGGACAGGGGTGTGTGACTGTAAGGGACAGTGTGTGTTGGGAAGGGCCGTGAGAATTTCTTAGAAGTCCTCCAGCCAGCTAACAGTCAGCTCTTCATGATGATCACAGTAAGGGGGGTGGGGGGCAAAGGAAGGGCATGAATGATCTAAGATGATGGAAAATTAAAGCCAACCAATAAAAAAAACCAAGTATCTGGCTCTGGCATGCAGTCACACGTAGATGCAATTCCACACGTCCACCCTCCTTCCGTGCCCCAATGCCCACACCCTCCCGGTGTTGGTGGCAGTAGCCGTCTCAGCTAGCAGCTAGCAGGCTGCCAGCCATACAGGGATAACCCACTCGCCGAGACTCCAGAATCTATTGCAAACTAGGGAAACATTTTTTCATGGTCTGCAGAGAGGGGCGCACCTCAGCTCGCCCGCCCCTGCGAATGGACAATATTAAAAGGTGGGTAACTTAGGTTGTGGCCACCATTGTATCAGTAGTCAGGGAAGCTAGCCCTATAACCAGAAAGACCAGCAGGGTGGGAAAGGAAGACTATGGTCCTTTCCCTCCATTTCTGAGTCCTTCTGTCAAAATGACTATTTTTTCAGTCTTTACCTTAGTCCACTGGGATTGCAGGGCAGAAAACACAACGTTCTCGAGTGAGGAGAGAGGGAGATCTGAGGGCTTTTTTTTTTTTTCCTCAATTAATGGGACAGGAGTTGGGGCCAGCTGCAAGGATATATGTACCCAGGAAACATCACTGCCAAGCTCTCCATCTGCTGATAGATTATGAGGTTGGGGGAGGGAAGGTTTCTCAGGAGCCTCCCCTTCTCCCAGGACTGACTTTGGAGTCCCATAGACCAGAGCTTGAACCCACGCCTTTAAGAGGGCTGACCTTGGGCTCCTTACTTAATCTGAGCTGCAGTTTCACCACAAGCTGGAGATTCCACAGTATTGCCAGAGCCTGAGGTTGCATGTGCTTAGCACAGTGCCCGGCATGAAGTCAGCACTCAACAAGGGGTCTGTCTGCATGATGATTACTGTGCATCGCAGGCTGGCTACCACTTTCTGCCGGATTAGGGGTAGAGAAGAGAAAGGCAAGAAATAGGGCTCTGTCCAGCTTCAACATGACCCCGAGGCACGCTGTAGAAGTAGGAAAAAGCTGTCTTGGGGAGTAGGGGAAGGAAGCTCTGGGGCAGGGGGAGAAGCACCAGGGCTCAAAGCACTGAACGAGGCCTTTAATGCCCATTCACACAGGCCCAGCAAAACCCACAGATAGCCTGTGCCGAGTCCCGCTTGTCAGTGGACCCCAGAACACTTACTGGCACAGGTCTTCCCGTCACTGCGGAGCACGTGTCCCTCAGGACACTGACAAGCAAAGGATCTGTCTGTGTTGACGCAGGAGTATTCACAACCATGGTTGCTCAGCAAGCAATAATCCGCCCCTGCAAAGCCAGACAGCCAGGTGAGGTTGGCAGTAAGACTTTGGGCTACTGATGATGGCAATCAAGTGACCACAGTCTTGTCTGTCCCCCCCCCTTTACCCCACAAAGTCATGAAGTCTGCTCCCCCACCCCTCAAAGGCATGCAGTCCCCAGAGGACACCCCCCACCATCTTCCTGGAGCACAGGAAAGGGCAGAGGAACGACAGGACCATGAACCACCCTCCTCTGCAGCGGCCATATTTTTCACTCTTGTTGCAAAGCTTTTCCGTAGAAGAGAAGCATAGACGGAGACTTACTGGAGCAGGTCTTGAGGTCCTCATTGATAAGGAAGCCTTCCGAGCACTGGCAGACGTAGGAATCCTCAGTGTTCAGACACAGCTGCTCACAGCCGTGGTCCTGCTCAGCACAGTGATCCACTCCTGCGTTTGTCACCCAGGAAAACACAAAATAACCTGACAGCGCTCACCGGCAACGGGGCATTAAGAAAACCGTCCTCCTGTGGGGGGGGGGGGGGGGGGGAGGGGAGCCCATAGGAGCCATTTACTTCATTGGCATCACAAAGAGCACTGCTGGAAGGTTTGTTTCATTCTACCCAGGGCAACTGGCCTCTGGAAATTCAGCCTTGTTTGTTTCTTCTTCTTCCCATTTCTGTGTTTTGAGGAGTAAAGCAAAGCGTCTACACCTCCTGTGTTGGTGTTAGCGACAGCAGCTCCTTGTGCCAGGACCTTGGCATCCTCATCTGCAGTCCTCAGGGCTACAGGCAGGTGTGAGCCCCGTCTCAGAGAGGAAAGCGAGGCTCAGGGAGGCCCAGCTGCTTGCCCAAAGCCACACCACTTAAGAATGAGGGTGGTGGTATCAAACCAGCTGGGCTCAAATCCCACCTGCACCGCTTCCTAGCCGGGCGATGCTGGGCAGTCACTTGACCTCTGGGCCATGGCTTCCCGACCTGAGAAACGGGGATGATGATGGTTGCTTTCTTAGAGGAATGTGGTGAGAAGGGGAGGAGTTGATACCTGTAAGGCCCTCAGACTGTAGCTGGCACACGGGAATTGCTGAGGGGATGCTTATTAAGTACCGCTGGGAAAGAATTAATTGTATAGTTTCATTTTTCTCTGAAAATGACACAGAAAAAGTGTTTTCACCCCCCCTACCCAGGACACCCAGATTCAGAAAACAAACCAGAGCCACAGCGTGCATGTGTGGCCGATCCTGGCACCCAAGCACTGCAGAGCTGGCCCCCATGGGCAACGAGCACCGAAGGACAGTGAACATGTAGCTGTGGTGAGCAGAGCCCACAGACGGCCCTGCAGGCGGCCTCCCAGATTTCCCTGATGGAGAAAACGCACACCCAGGGACTGGAGACACATTGAAGGCCTTGTGCCGGGCCATCAAGCAGGCCTCTGACTCCTCAGAAGGGCCCGGGGCTGGTGCCTTCGGGAACATTCCACTGTTGGAGGCACCTACTGCTGACTCTTGCAGGATCTCAGGAGCCAGAAGCCCAGATTCACACCTTGGTTCCACCACGAACCAGTCATGGAACACCAGGAAAGTGACTTACTCCTTTTCTGCCACAGGGTCCCTTGAATAGATATGACTGTAGATGATAGGGCTACTCAGACACGAGGTAGATGGCTCCTAAGGCTACCGTGAGGATAAAGTGAGTGAGTGCCTGGAAAGGGCTCACCACAGCCTCACAGAGTGTGCACCTCATAAGCGCTTGCTGTTATTAGGGCCGGGGGCTCCCTGAGTACTTGAGGGAACCAGGATACCATGGCCTTCTTTGGGAACTCCTAGGAAGAAATGGCTTGGTTTATACTTTCTTGAAGCTAAGTGGTCTTTCTCATTTGATCCCAGAGAGACAGTATGGCCCACTCTCTTCTGGCCCCACTCTGAGCCCTTCAAGCCTCCTCCAAGCCACGCTGGGAGGGAAGAACAGGCGGGGGCCCCTGGAGCTCCAGGTGGGCTCAGCCAGGTCATGCCCAGCCTGTCCTGGGACACTTGCCAGGGCTGTCAGCTGGCAGACCCCACACTCCTGGAAGAAGGCAGAATGTACCCGGATTCATCTTTACCAGGACATCTCCTGCTCCCCACCAGCGTCTCATCAGGACTCAGAGACTTCCAGAAGCAAGTGTACAGCAGCACTAACTTTCTGGTTCAAAAGTTCTTTGACCTCCGAGATCAGTCCTTAGAAAGCTTACTGGAGGTACTTTGTTCCCTCTACAGACTGAAGGGGCACAAGTTTTCCTGAGGATTGCTCTGTACCTAATGCTTCATCTGTGAAACTTCCCCTTCTGGCAGTTTGTGGTCCAAATGCTCAACAGCTGCACTGTTCTCATTTACAATCTATCTCTGTCCCCAAAGCTGGAGCAGATGTGGGGCCTGCCGAGGGGAAAGCCGCACAAAGGGCCCCTTCTGTGCTGGCCATGTCACGGAGCCCCTCTCCCAGCAGAGCAGGGTCACAGGCATCCACCACAGTGCTCATGTGCCCCCCCCCAACCCCTGCTGGCCTGGACCAGTGGAGACCGTGCCTCATAAAACATGATGGAACCGTCCAGCTGGCAAAGCCTGCAAGTTTCCATGCATTTACATCACCAAATGGAGATTTGTTGGGCCTCTTACACAAGAAAATTAAGAAAGGCTTCACAAAAAGTCCCATATTTCCCAGCTCCGCCCTCAGACCAGCTCTGTGGTAGCCCACATACTTTCAGAGGTCTGTCCCTTTTGGCTTCTTGTCCCAGCCTGCAGCCACACTGGTCACTCTCCCAGGCTCCGTGGTCATCATGAATTATTATCTTTCATTGTGTTTTCCTTGTGCCAGGCCCAGGCTAAGAGACTGAAATGGTCCTGCTTATTCCCCTTAAAAACTCGAGCACATCAATACTGCCCTTATTGCCACTTTTCTAAACAAAAGGGAAAATCAAGGCTTGGCAAAGTTAAATACTTTGCCTGGGACCACATGTCTACTAGGTGATCGTGCTTGGATTTTAGATTCTGGTAGGTCTGACTTAATCAGTGCTCTCCAACAGTGAAGAATAATATTAGCTAATATTTATTGAGTGCTTATTAATACTTAGTGGCACTATTCTTTTTTTAATTTAAATTCCATTAATTAACATATAGTATATTATTGGTCTCAGAGGTAGAGGTCAGTGACTCATCAGTCTTCTATGATGCCCAGGGCTCATTACATCACATGCCGTCCTTAATGCCCATCACCCAGTTACGCCATCCCCCTGCCCCCCTCCCCTCCAGCAACCCTCACTTTGTTTCCTATGATTAAGAGTCTCTTATGGTTTGTCTCCCTCTCTGATTTCATCTTGTTTTATTTTTCCCTCTCTTCCCCTATGAGCTTCTGTTTTCTTGCTTAAACTCCACATATGAGTGAGATCATATGATAACTGTCTTTCTCTGATTGACTTATTGGGCTTAGCATAAAACCCTCTAGTTCCATCCACGTTGTTGCAAATGGCAAGATGTCCTTTTCTTGATGGCTGAGTAGTATTTCACCATATATATATATATATATATATATATTCACCATATATATATATTTCACCATATATATATATATATATACACCACTTCTTCCTTATCCATTCATCTGTCGATGGACATCTGGGCTCTTCCCAATAGTTTGGCTATTGTGGACATTTAGCAGCACGTTTTTAAGAGCTTTATATGTATTGGTTTTTTTAATCCTCACAACCCAATCTGTGAGGTGGGTAGCATGAATAGTCCCATTTTATGGGTGATAAACTCAGGCAAGGAAGAGAAAGCCTCTTGGACCATCGGGCTTTCAGGAGACCCAGCAGCTTCAGAAGCGAGCCCCAGGGCCTATGTGTGAACTGCGCCCTCCCATCCGAACCCCCCTGCCCCGGCACACTCACGGCTGCAAGTCTTGCCATTGGGGTCCAGGGTGTAGCCCCGGCGACAGCGACAGTAGTAACCTTCCTCCGTGTTGATGCATTCGTGCTCACAGCCCGGTTTGTTCAGCGCACAGTAGTTGATCCCTGAGGGGAGAAAAGGCAGACCCTCCTGCAGACTCTGGGCTTCTCCCAGGGCTGTGAGGTCAGCCCCTCATGGCAAATACTCAGTAAAGAAGGTGCTCTATAGGACAGAGAAGACGGCTCCTGCTCTCTGGGAGCCGGTTTGAAGGAGAACCTAGGATCAGAAGTCTGGATTTTTTCAGCTTGGGTCTTTTCCCCTTTTGATGGCCAAAAGCTGGTGAAGTGGGTTGAGGACAATTCCCAGCCCGTCCCTCCTCAAGAAAGATGGAAACACCCGGAAAATCCAGTTAGGCTTTTCTTCCCCAGTTAACCTGATCACTAGGGCTCAGAGCACGTAGGGAACCACTGTCTGCAGTGTTATCTGACAATGACATCGGATAGCACAAGGCAGAGCCAACAAAAGCTGATTGTGCAAAAATATCCAGCTAGCTAGGGGAGGCAGGACCTGGCAGTTACATTAAGAAGGGTCCAAATGCTTAATCTCGCTCTACATGAGATCATGGCAGCCTCCATATCAAGAAAGTGGAGAAGATACATCTGATGCTTTGTGGCAGGGGGTTGTGGCAGTTGTGTCCTATGTAGACATTTGCCCCCCTCCAGGCTGGGTTTCTGCCAGCAGGTGGGAGCAGCATCTTTACCGGGAGCCAATTAGCATTTCATTTCCTGGTAGAAAATGTTAAAGTCACAAGACCCCATGAAGAACAGGTTATAAGGGAGATGGAGAACTGGGAAAGGAAATCAAATGACCTCGTGGAGGGTCTTCATGAGACTGGTGTTGGAGGAACTGTCCCCTTAGTGGCTGAGCTGGCTCTGTTTAACTGCATTGTTCTTTCTCCTGCAGATGTGGGCAGACACTGCTGGTTACCATGCCAACAGCCATTACCCCGTCTCCTCGGGACTAGAACCCTGACCCCCAAGGCATGAATCATGGCTGATCTAAGCCAGCCTGGCAACCATCCCTTCGAGGGGCTTTGATGCACCCTCCCAAGTGACTGGGGACAGAGTTTGAGGAGAAGTGGCTGCACACTGAGCATGCAGAGAGCACTCTCACCACACGCAGGGAATGGCCAAAGAGGAGAGACGCCACCACAAGTGTCACTGACCCCTTGGCCTTCTCTGTAACTCATCCCTTCTGTGTGAGGGGAGGCAGGATATTGTTAGCTGCGTGCGGTTTCAGTTCATCAGCCTGGAACTCATCAACAACCTTACCTGTGAGGAACAGAACTGAATGCTGGGAAACAAGCAAGGAGCTTCAGTGAAGAAAAAGGGGCCTGTCAATAAACACTGGCCACATACAGACAGACAAAAGAAAAACAAGCAAAGAGATAGAGTACAAAGGGCCCTACAGTCTGGGGCCACATAGCGGAGGGTCTGTGGGAATCGCTTCCTCACAGGCCCAGAGAAAGGTGAAATGGTTTTCAGTAAATGCTGCTTTAAAAAGCCAGCATTCAGCCACTATGGGAAACGGTATGGAGTTTCCTCAAAAAATTAAATAGAGAATTACCATAGGATCCAGCAATTCCACTTCTGCATATTTACCCAAAAGAATCAAAAGCAGGGACTTGAAATCAGCCTTAAAAAGGAAGGAAATTCTGACATATGCTACATCGTGGATGATGCCTGAAGGCATCATGTGAAGTGAAATAAGTCAGACACAAAAGGACAAATATTATATGATTCCACTTATATGAGGTAACTTGAACAGGCAAACTCAGAGACACGGAAAATCAAATGGTGGTTGCCAGGAGCTTGGAGGCGGAGATGGGAATGGGGAGTCATTGTTTAATGGGTATAGTCTGGGGAGATGACAAAGTTCTGGAGTTTAAGGGTGATGATGGTTGCACAATAATGTGAATGTTCTTAAAGCCACTGAAGTATACACTTAAAAATGGTTAGAACGGTCATTTTTATGTTAGGTGTATTTTACCACAATTTTTTTTTAAGATTTTTATTTAATTGACAGAGAGAGAGACAGCGAGAGAGGGAACACAGCAGGGGGAGTGGGAGAGGGAGAAGCAGGCTTCCCTCAGAGCAGGTATCCTGGGATCATGACCTGAGCCGAAGGCAGACGCTTAACAACTGAGCCACCCAGGCGCCCCACCACAATTTTTTTAAAAGCCAGCAATCTCTCTCTCTCTCTCTCTCTTTTTAAGGATTTACTTATTTGGGAGAGAGAGACAGAGAGAGACAGAGAGAGAGAGCATGCCCTGCTGCACAAGCAGAGGGGAGGGGTCGAGAGAGAGGGAGAGAATGTCAAGCCGACTCCCGGCTGAGCCATGAGATCATGACCCTGAGATCGTGACCTGAGCTGAAATCAAGAGTCATATACTCAACTGACTGAGCCACCCAGGTGCCCTCCCAGCATTATCTTTAAGAAAGATTTACATATGAAATAATTAAACTGAAAATCATTTTGATTCTTAAAGATGTGATCACTCAGCTATCTGGCAAACACGGACTCTTCTCCAAATGGTTCCTGATCGCAAAGGTTTAACTGTAGATCGTGGCCTTCTTTACATGCTTGAGTTACATTTCTTCACATGTGTATTACTTCATCAGTATTTATTGAGTACCTACCATGTGCCCCATAGGTGTTTCAGTCTCCTCGCTAACTGTAAGTGCCACACATGGGCCAGGCTTGTGGGTAGCTTTACCTGGTGAAGCCCAGAGGGTCCAGTGAGCCCCACATGAGGTCAGTTGGAGGGACAGTCAGACAATAAATTTTAAACAGAACTTAGAAGTGCCAACTCACAAGAAAGGTGGAGATTTCCCTGAGAAGGTACGACATAAAAACATGAAAGAGCAGTGACCCCAGACAGTGAATCATAATGCCCATGGAGTGGCACAGATAGCACATTTCAGAGAAATTGGACAGGCTACTAAATGTTAAAGCAGGATGTCATGTTCCTTTGGTTTAGCAAATCCAGGTCCAGAGAAGGAGAGTAAGCCTGTTGAAGGTCATAGGGCCAGTATGAGTGACACTGCTAAGACCAGCCCTCACATCTCCCAGCTCAGTCCAACCTTGTATGCCATCCCAGCTCTTCAAGTATGATGTCTCCAGCGACGGAGAGCATCAACCACGGGGCCAGCATGAGCAATCCTGGAGCCCAGCACACGGGTCACACCCACATAGGATTCCGCCCTCAGGCCCCACCTCAACAGCCAGGCCAGTCCCAGTTTCTGTGCTTTGCACCACCGCCTTAATAATTTATGCTTTAAAATGATGACAGTACTTTCCAGAAAAAGAAATTGTGCCCAGATGAGGAGGAAGAAGAAATCCCGGCCAAGAGACTTTTCTTTAGTAGAATTCTGCCTTGAACTTTGTTTTCCACCTTAATTGGATGACATCAAATTCCTTTGAAAAACAGATTTCTTATTAGATTTGAAAATTGCCCACATCCATCCACCATCTATTAAATGTAAATGGCTGTACCCTGAGCTTGAGGTCTGTAATGCTCTCGAGACCTTCAAACTCTTAATAACAAACTCCAGATTTAAATCTAATTTCTTGTTTCCCTCTTCCACATAATGCTCCAGAGAGACAGGGAGCGCTCACTTCCATTCACAGCTGTCTGCCATAATGGACAGAGTGCAAACATTAAGTCAGGGGTGGCTCTAAGAGGCTGACCTCAGGAGCCCAGTGCTGGGTCTGCACAGACAATGGAAAATGTAACAATGAGGCAGGAGGTTGAGAGAAGGGCTGGTGAGGACATGGAGTTTTAGAAACAAATTCCATTTTTCTTGGATGAAAAAGTAGGACACCTGGCTAAAGAGGAAATGGAGCTATAATTGCTAAACATATACGGATGAGCATTAGGGACTCTGGACTGGGCCACAGCCTACAAACAGGCCCATGTATGGGCTCATTTGTGGTGGTCAAACTACTCCCAATGGTCACCTCCTTTCCACTCACCCTTCTGTTCTTGACCTCCTTCCTCCCCTGATAACAATGCATGCGTCCACTGCCTTGGACCCTTCTCTTACTCCAAGTCCCTCTCCAGGCAGGATGTGGGGGAGTGGCAGAGGATGAAGGAATCCTAGATGATTGGTAGGAGATGAAGAGCTCCAGGGGTGCCTGCGTGGTGTGGTCAGCTAAGTGGCTGACTCTTGGTTTTGGCTCAGGTCATGATCTCAGGGTTGTGAGCCTCACATCGGGTTCCATGCTCAGCACAGAGATGCTTGAGATTCTCTCTCTCTTCCCCTCCCACTTGTGCTGTCTCTCGCACATAAATAAAGAGATGAAGAGCTTCAAGCAAATTCCCCTTCACTGATGGCCGTATGCCTAACTAGTTCCCTTTTCCCTCCATTAGTAATACACATGAAGCTTGCAACCACAATGTGTGCCTGAGTTGAACCAGATCTAATTATCCCCTGCATAAGAGCTTTTGGTCTACAAATGAGTCCACCTGTGACTGATTTTCCCTGGGTATAGTCAGCCACTAACACACTTATCCCTAGAAAAAGGTGTAAATAGCAGAGAGGAGTGGCCAGGCCAGAAAAGTTGGCCCTTTACCCTAGTGAATGCATGTGTGGTCTAATGGAAAATATTCCACCTAATTGTTTTCACATTCTGAATGCTCTCAGTGAAAATTCCTATTTAATGCTCGAATGTTTGCAGGGTTTGCATCTAGGCAAGGCTGTAGGAATTATCTTTTATAAGAAAGGCGCAGTTTCAAAACATGGCCTCTGCAACCATCTACCACGGTACAAGGTCTAATGCTTATTAGAGTGAGGGGCTAAGTCCATATGTGCTGGGAGCAGAATGTGGCTTGTCTGGATTCAGTTCTATAGCCCACAGTGCTTTTTCAAAAGAAATACATGGTTGAGCGTTTGAAAATTCAGTCCTGCCTGTGATGCAGAGCCCTGCTGTACCTATCGCCAGGAAGAGGCAGGTGAAGTGCATGAGAACATACATCCCTAAGAGGGGGTTCCAGAAAGTTCTATAAACAAGACTGCCAGGAGAACACAAACAAGTCAGTACGTGTGTCGCCTGACTACAGAAATACTTTTTTAAAAAAGTTCACAATCTGCATGCTTTAAAAGGGCCATCTTCCTAAAGAGATCGAGTAATTCAAACAATAGTTGCAATTCCTCCAGGATGATAAATCTCAGAGAGATCCGTTTACTCATTCCTTCAGTCATTCACTCAGCAAGTCTTGTGTTACACCTCCATGTGCTAAGCCCTTGGGGTGTTGAGGATTCAAGAGTGAGAGAGAGAGAGAAGACTCTCTGTCCTTGTGGACCTTCCATTCTAGTGGTTTCTCAGGGACAGTCTGGTTTAAAGAGATCCCATTTGGGGTCCGTGCTCTAGATCACCCTTGATGTGCCAGCTGATAGGCATTTGAGTCACTCAGCACATTATTCATTTCATCCTGTTGACACCATGTACCTCTTGAGTGCTGCGGGGATGCCCTAAAGTCAGAGTTTTTTTTCTTTCTTCGTGTCAAAGAGGATAGAGCAGCAATTTCCCCCGCTTAGCAGCCATCAGGTATCTCATCTGGTATAACTGGAAGAAACTAACTCCTTTTACCTCCTGTCTCTGAGCCCAGACTGTTCTTTCTCAAAGTCCCAAATACATGTTGTGGGGCTAATGAGGAGGGGGGTGGTGTGCCCTCATTTCCCATAGGTTGGAGCTTCGACTCTGCTCAATGAATCCCGTGGCCAGACCCAGTCTATTCAGTCTCTAAAAATCATCCCCATCACAGAATCAGGAGTGACAAAAGGTAAAATCAAGGGCAGAAGAGTGTTAGTAAACACAAATGCTGAGTACAAGTATACTGGCTTCAGATTTGCAAGGAAAAGGAAATTTAGCGGGGCATTTATGGGAACAAGCCCTTCTCCTACACCCAGGGGACTTACTTCTGCAGGTCTTCTTATCTGGATTCAGGGTGAAACCTTTTAGGCAGCGGCAGGAGTAGGAGTCACCTATGTTAACACACTCGTGCTGGCAGCCATGATGAGACGAGGCACAGAAGTCTATCTCTGGAGAGAAAGAGAAATCATAATAATGATGAACAAAACAATAAATCTAACCAGAAAACCAAGGGATTTTCAGTCTTCATTTTCCCTAAACAGATAGATTCCCATAACCTCAAACACTCCCACTATGAAGGGATCTCTCAGTGAAGCTATTTCCATGTTTAGAGATATGGCCCCCCAGTGAGAACTTCCTTGACATTACAAAATGTTTATGCAGCAAATGAATTTGTGAAGATGCTTTCCTTGTCCTGGTTCATGTAAGAGCCCCTAAATAAAAAAGTATGATGGAGCATTTGTTTGTTGTATCACAGGCTGGGAAGAGAGAGCTTAGTTCAATGCTTTATGGAATTTATGCAGTTAAAACAATGAAATCTTCCCAAAGTCTAACCCCAAACTACTTAAATCCCTCACACACTGAGCCAAACAATAAGACATGAAGCCAGATCCTGGGAAAAAGAAGGCGTGAATGGCATAGATATCCTGAGTGCAAAAGACTGTTCTCATTGCTCCACTGGACTCATCTTCACTAGGATTTTCTCAAGGCTTCACAGTCAGAGAATGTGATCTCTAGGTACACATTAATTTAAACCAAAATATCAAGGGAAAAAAAAGGTTACATGGAATTTTTTATAATGGCGTCTTACTTATATAAGCATTTTTAGATATGCAAGTGGTTTCTATGGAAGGGTTTGATCAAAGGTTTTGCTATCATGGGAATTGAAAACACTGCTTAAAATTGCTTGAAATAGTTGACCACTGATGGGGTCATAAATATTTTTGTTGTGATGAAGATTTTTATTGTATTAAGGAACATGTGACCTACGGATATCATTTTCATAATGAAGAATTTGGTATAAATGAGCTTTCCCAGCCCGTACCATAGGAAACAAAATGAGTAAGAGAAAGGCACGCAATATCCTTAAAAGGAAAAACATTAAGTAAATGCCAATTCTTCCCAATTTAAAGTCATGGAAATGTTAAATGTACACAAAAATGGACAGAAGAGTATAATAAACTCGTATACATATCATTTGGCTTCAAGAGAATCAATCTACGTTCCTCTCATGTTAGGATTCCATGTTACTTTGAAACAAATCTCAGATGCTATATCATTTTGTCCATAGATATTTCGTAATGTATCCTTAAAAGACTGGAATTCTTTATTTTTTTTTAAGATTTTATTTTTAAGTCATCTCCACACCCAGTGTGGGGTTCAAACTCATGACCCTGAGATCAAGAGTCACATGCTCCACCGACTAAGCCAGCCAGGCACTCAAAAAGACTGGGAAGCTTTTTAAAAAAATATCATCACATATAAGGTATTTTTTAAAGCTTTTTATTTGGAAACAATTTCAAATTTACAAAAAGTTGCCAACATAAATGTACAAGAAACACCTGTATACTCTCTACCAGATTCACCTATTGTTAACATTTTACCACATTTGCTTTATCATTTGTTCATCTTTCTGAACTATTTGAGGTAAGTTACATACATCATGGTCCTTTTTCCAAATACAGTGTGAGCTTCCTAAGAGGAAGGATATTCTCTTAGATAACCACAGTATAGTTGTAAAATTTATAAATTTACATTGATATAATACTTTAATCTACCATCCATATTCTAGTCTTATCAGTTGATCTAATAATGTTCTTTATAGTGTTTTTACTCCTCCAGTATAGAATCCAGTATAAGGTCAGAGATTATATTTAGTTTTCATTTATGCTTAGCTTCCTTTAATCTAGAACCATGTGTCGAATGTAGCCATTTAAATCAAAATGGGCTGAAATAAAATTAAATTAGGGGTGCCTGGATGGCTCAGTTGAGCATCTGACTCATGATTTCGGGATCATGAGCTCGAGCCCCTTTTCAGGCTCTGTGTCTGCTTGTCCCTCTCCCTCCCCCTCTGCTCCTCCCCTCCCCACAAGCATGCGCGCTCTCTCTCAAATAAATAAATACATAAATCGTTTTTAAAAATTAAATTAAGGGCGCCTGGGTGGCTCAGTTGGTTAAGCGACTGCCTTCGGCTCAGGTCATGATCCTGGAGTCCCGGGATCGAGTCCCGCATCAGGCTTCCTGCTCAGCAGGGAGTCTGCTTCTCCCTCTGACCCAACCCCCTCTCATGCTCTCTCTCTCATTCTCTCTCTCAAATAAATAAATAAAATCTTTAAAAAAAATAAAAATTAAATTAAAAATCTAGTTCCTCAGTCGCACCAGCCACATCTCAAGTATTCAATAGCCATAGTAGCTTCTGACTGCCGTACTGTATGGTGCAGATACAGAACATTGGCATCATCACAGAATGTTCTATTCAGTAGAACATTGATAGTCTAGAATATTTCTACAGCCTCTTTGGGTGTTATGACATTCACATTTTTGAGTAATACAGTTTCCCCTACTTGTTTTGAGTTTTATTGAGGTACAACGGACAAAAAGCACCTATTTAAGATGAACAACTTGATGAATTTTCACATACGTATGCTTCCATGGAAACTATCACCCCAATCGAGATAATGAACTTATGCCATTCCTCTCAAAAGTTTTCTTGTGTCTCTTTCTAATTCATTCTTCTCCAAATCCTCTGGCCCCATATAATCATCAGTCTTTCAAAAATTTCAGTTTCTGTTTTCTAGAATTTTATTAAAATGGAGTCATATAGAATGTATTCTTTTGGATCTGGGTTCTTTTCTTTCTTTCTTTCTCTCTTTCTTAAAGATTTTATTTATTTATTTGAGAGAAAGAGAGAGGCAGAGACAGAGCATGAGCAGGGGGAAGGGGCAGAGGGAAAGGGAGAGGGGGAAGCAGACTCCCGCGGAGCAGGGAGCCTGACGCGGGGCTCAATCCCAGGACCCTGAGATCATGACCCGAGCCAAAGGCAGACGCTTAACCAACTGAGCTACCCAGGCACCCCGGGTCTGGATTCTTTCACTCATCATAATTATTTTGAGATTCATCCATGTTCATGTGTATTATCAATAGCTTGTTCCTTTTTATAGTATTTCATTACATGGATATACCACAATTTATTTATCCATTTACCTGGTGTTGGGATTTGAGTTGTTTCTAGTTTTGGGCTATCACAAATAAAGTAGCCAAGAACATTCATGTATAGGTCTTTATGTAGACATACGCTTTTATTTTTCTTGAGTCAACATCTAGGAGTAGAATGGTTGGGTCATGCCATTGACATATGCTTAATTTCTTAAACATTCTCAACACCAGTTTATGAGAGTTCCGATTGCTCCACATCTTCACCAACACTTGGCCATTTTAGCCATTCTTTTAGGGTGTAGTAATCATCTCATTGTGGTTTTATTTTGCATTCCTGTAATTACTAACACTGTTGAATATATTTTCATATGCTTATTTGCCATCTCTATAACCTCTTTAGTGAAGTATCTCTTCAAATCTTTTGTCCATTTTTTTAAAGATTTTTATTTATTTATTGAGAGAGAGAGAGCATGAGAGGAAGGAGGGTCAGAGGGAGAAGCAGACTCCCTGCTGAGCAGGGAGCCCGATGCGGGACTCGATCCTGGGACTCAGGATCATGACCTGAGCCGAAGGCAGTCGCTTAACCAACTGAGCCACCCAGGCGCCCTTGTCCATTTTTATTGGGTTGTTTGTCTCATTATTAAGCTTCAAGAGTTTTTTTATATATTCTAAATATAAATCTTTTTTTGGATATAATTTTTGCAAGTATTTCTTTTTCAGTCTATGGCTTGCCTTTTCATTTTAACAATGGTATCTTTTGAAGAACAAGAGCTTAAATTTTGATGAAGTTCAAGTTGTTCATTTTAATTTTCATAGTTTCTGCCTTTTGTGTCCTACCTTTGCCAAACTCGGGGTCACTGAGATCTTCTATGTTTCCTTCTAGAATTTTTATACTTTTGTTCTTATATTTAAGTTTAAAATTCATTTCAAGTTAAATTTTGTTATGGTATAAGCTGCAAAAAAAAAAGCTGAAGTTGTTTTTTTTTTGCAATCCAATTGTTCCCTTTGTGGAAGACATTATCCTTTTCCCCATGAATTGCCTTGGCACCTTTATTGAAAATCATTTCACCATATATGTGTAGGGCTATTTCTGGACTCTATGCTGTCCCATTGACCTATATGTCCATCTTTACACCAATACCACACTGTTTTGATAACTGTTGCTTTATAATTAGTATTAAAAAATCAGGTAGTTTAAGTTCTCCAATTTTGTGCATTGTTTTCAAAATTCATTTGACTGTTTTAATCCTTTGCATTGTCACATATATTTTAGAATCAGCTTGTCAGTTTCTACAAAAAAGCATGCTAGGATCATGATAAATATTGCTTTGATGTATAGATTACTTTGGAAAGGACAGTTAAATATTAAGTCTTCGGATCCATGAACATGATATATTTTATTAAGTCTTCTTTAATTTCCCTTAGCGATATTTTATAGCTTTCAGTGTATAGGTCTTTCACATTTTTTGTCAAATTTACCCATAGGTAACTACATATTTTTGATGTTATGATAAATGGTATTTTTTAATCTTGATTTTCCATTAAAAAATATAAAAAATAGTTGTTTTTTGCAATATAGACCTTGTATCCTGCAACCTTGCTAAACTCACTTAAAAGTTTTAGTAGCTTTTTTGTAGACTCTGCTGCAATTTCTACACAGATGATCATGTCTGTTAATAAAGATGCTTTAATTCTTCTTTTCCAATCCAGATTTCATTTCTTTTTTTCTTCCTTATTACAATGGCCAGAACCTATAGTACAATGCTAAAAGGAGGTGGTGAAATGGGTATCCTGTTTTGTTTCTAATCCTATAAGGAAAGCATTCAGTGTTTCATCAAGTATGACGTTACCTGATGCTTTCTCCACTGATGCATTTTATCAGATGGAGGCAGTTCTCAACATTCCTGGTTTGCAGAGGTTTTTTTCTTTTCTTTCTTTCTTTATTTTTAAAAGATTTTATTTATTTATTTGACAGAGAGAGACACAGCCAGAGAGGGAACACAGGCAGGGGGAG